AGTAAGGGTCCGGATCTCCACGGGGAGATCGTTCCATAAGGCCGGAGCAGCTACAGAGAAGGCCCTTCCCCGTGGGTTCGCCAGCCGACATTGACCGGCAGATGGAATCCGGAGGCGGCCTAATCTGTGCAATCTTATGGGTCTCTAGGAGGTAAATGGCAGGAGGCGGTCTCTCAGGTAGCCAGGTCCTAAGCCCTTCACTGTGAAGCGGTATATAAGTCTAAGTGCTATTGCTTGCTATTGCTGGCTAACTCTGCCCACTGCCAAGAGTTCAATCCTGACCAACTAAGGTTGACTCAGCCTTCCGAGGTGGGTAAAATGAAGACCCGGATTGTTGGGGAAAAGAGGCTGGGCTCTGTAAACCGCTTAGAGAGGGCTGGAAAGCACCGTGAAGCGGGATATAAGTCTGCTAAGTGCTATTCTTTCTCCACTTTTAAAGCCCAGCACATCCTCTTTCAATACAGCTTTCCTTAATATAAATTCAGCCTATAGCCTTGAGGAATGATCTGGTTTATAATTAAGCGTTCTTGAAAACATGTCAGTTACGGTAGGAGGGTGCGATGAAGTTTGATATATCAACATTTTGAATCTCAGCCTCACTTACTGGAACTCTGCCTTTCGCTCTGAATGCAGCCACCCGGGAGACGTCTTCGTCTTTGACGCTGGTTGGCACAACAAGAACGGCAGGATATGTGTCACAAAATTCATACATGCTGTTAATTTTGGATATTTTCCAGCTCTCGTTGGGTAAACCCTTGAAAACAAAACATTTTTATATACATCAAACTTTGAAAATGAGAAACCGACTGCAGGAAGCAATCGTAACCGAATTGTTATAAATAATTCGGTAGAGTATTTTATTTTTATTTTCTGGATTAAAAATTACACAAATGCAGTATAATGTTTGGGAACACAGCAGGCAGGCAGCTTAAAGTTTAAAATTCCTGGTGCGAATATTAAACAGGTAAGACACCTGTTATTTTCCCTACTCTTAACGTATTGTGTTAATGTGTTATATCCATTTAGCTCAATTGTATACTGTACACAACCTTGAGTAATTTTGGCAGAGAATTGATAGTCAAATATATGCATTCATTATGATTATTTTCCTATTGGCAGAGACAAATATCCCCCAGAATGTACTTTGTATTCAAACCATTCAAACCATTCAAACCATAATATGTGTATGCACCTTTTGTAATAAAAGGTTGCACACTTCACATGATACGTCCACAGCAGGAGTGGTATTCACTTACTTTCTCTACTGGTTCACAAATGTCAGCACTGTGGATGTGTCTTTGGCAAAAAATGGCCTAAATGGGATGCTGTAGAGCCAGGGTGGGTGGGCGGGGCCAGCCACGATTTCTGCTACCAGTTCGGGCGAAGGAATCCGAACCGGTAGGATGCCACCTGTGGCCCAGAGATGCTAGATAGTGAAGTGGGCGGCCTATCAATTTAATAAATGAATAAAATAAAATCTATTGATCAATCCATCCACATGGTTTCCACTTCACAGGAAGGAATGGAATTAGCTTTCACACTGATTTCACTGTGAAGTAGCTAGTACTTGGATGAATGAAAAGATACGCACACTTACTAGATGAGTTTTCACACTTGAAGTTGATAAAATACACTTGTAGTTGAGGATTCCTTGGTGCTCTCTGAGCTTGGTGGTTTTCTTGCAGAAGTTTCATTACCAAACTAGGTAACATCATCCATGCTGGTCCCCAAGTTATCTAATTTGGCAATGAAACGTCTTCAACCAGGCTCAGAGAGCCCCGAGGAGCCCTCGTTCCAACCCTGAGCTATAAATATTCTTCCTCTTACTTGTAGTTGTGTCTTCACAAAGGAGGCAGAAGAACCTCAAACTTAGAATCAAGATGTTCAAAAGGCGTCCACCTGGAGTTAGGTAGATGTTCCACCCAGGCCGTTCAAACATCTCTACTCAAATTCATGAGTACTCATACTTGTAGTTGTGTCTTCGCCAGGGGTGAAATGCTCTGAAGTCTGCTACCGGTTTGCTTCGCGCTCGCAGGCGCACTGCAGGCGCACTGCAGGCGCTAAGAAGCCTTTTCTGAGTCTCCAACGGTAAGTAGAACAGCAAGGGGGAGGGGAAGAGCTGTGCCCCACGATTTAGATTAGCTACAAAGCAGGATTTCCGGCTTTCTAGCCAATATAAATTGGGCGGCACAGCTGATCATCGGAACCTTTTTTAAGCACCGGTTTTTACTACTGGTTCGGGCATTTCACCCCTGGTCTTCACAAAGGAGGTAGAAGACAGAAGAACCACAAAGTAAGGACCAAGATGTTCAAAAGGAATCTACCTGAAGCTGGGTAGACCTCCCGCCTGGGCTCTTCAAACATCTCTACTCAGATTTATGAAGATTCATCCCTTCAGCCGTCATCTCTAAACGCCTGGTCAACAATTCCACATCCTCTCCGGGATAGCAATATAGCAATAGCAGTAGACTTATATACCGCTTCATAGGCCTTTCAGGCCTCTCTAAGCGGTTTACAGAGAGTCAGCATATTGCCCC